CGCTCATCCCCACCTGTGCTGAGGCCTTCACTCAAGACATTCTCCTCTCTGGAACATTCCACCGGATCTAATGTTTTTCTGTTCCCCATGTTTCTTAGTTCCAGTATAGCCAGTTCTTCTCAGCATACCCTAGCAAGACTTCCCAGGCCAGGACCCTTGTCCCCCCACCCCCCCAAACACATAGCCAGGGCCTCCCAGGCAGCTACTGAGCCAGGTGTGCTTACGTGGCCACACCTGCAGACTCCCCAGCCAGGGACTGAAATGTTGGAGAGGATGGAGACGGGGCCCGGGAAGTGACCCAGGTACAGATGTGTATGGGGGTCATCAGGAAGATGACCACCCCCTCATGTGGGGACGGGCACCTTGCTAAGGCCACCTCACCTCTCTCCCTGCCCATGGTTTCATCACAGATGAAAAGAACTAGCATTGAATGGAGGGGAGCGGGAAGTCTGGGGGTACCCCAGGAAGGTCCCCAGCTGCAGCCAAGTGAAGCCGGCTAGGGACGTATGCACAAACGGGGAACCAAAGGCTGGAGGAGCCCCTTCCTCTTTCCACATAGCCCCTAAGCCCTACTATTCTGCATCGCTACCAGCGCATATGCTGTGTATGGTGGTGCAGTGGTTAAGCGCTCAGCTGCTAACCAAAAAGGTTGGCGGTTTGAACCCACCAGCCGCTCTGTAGGAAAATGATGTGGCAGTCGGCTTTCAAGATGACAGCCTTGGAAACCCTATGGGGCAGTTCTGCTCTGTCCTATAGGGCTGCTATGAGTGGGAATCGGGTTTACCAGCTCACACACCCATGTCGCCCCAGCCCTCTAGCCACTCCCCCTGTGACCATCCCCACTTGTGCGGCAGGGCCCCACTCCAGGCTGCAGAGGCCCTGGGAGACCAGGCCAGCCCCTCTTCTGCCTTGCACCCCATTCCTCTGCACAGGTGCCCTTCCAAGACGGGAAGTCGCTTATAGGCCACACCCAAAGGGCCCGAGCTGTCCCCAACAGGAACCAGGTCCCTGCTTCCTGTCCCACCTCAGAGTGGCCAAGCCCTGTGGCCTCCACCCCCACAGAGCAGGCAGGGCCTGGCGGCCTCCTCCTGCTCCGCCCAGGCCAGGAGCTTGGGGTTGGGTGCCAAATGAGTGGGCCAAGGAGTGTGGCAGCAGCCTCGGGACGGTATGCTTAGGGCATTCCTCCGGGGCATCTAGCCTGACCCTGGGAAGGGGCAGTTGGGCCCAGGGGGTGGGGCAGGGTCCCCTTGCCCGGCATCCCCCACCAGAGAGGGCTCTCCTCCCCCAAGGGCACCAACGCACATGTGCGTGTATGTAAGGTGCGACACCGTTCCAGGCGGATGACAGGGCCTGGGGGCACCATGGGGCAGGGGGGTGGAGGGCCCACCCCCCAGGGATCTGGGTGACACCTCTGGAGCCAGGGGAAGCACAGAGGGCACTGCTGGCTGCCCCACCCAGTGGCCCAAACTCCAGCTGTACTTTGCTGAATCAAAATACATCTTACTCCAAAGCAGGCCAGCGTTGCCATGGCAACAAAGCGAATTCATGGAGGGATTTCTCCGTCTGATTTATGACGCCCGCCCCGTGAGTCAGAGGGCGCAGATCCGGGGGCCCGGGCAGGTGGCTCTTCTGCCCCAGAGGCCAGAGCAGGCAGGCACAGGTGGAGAGACAGGTAGAGACCCAGGTGGAGGCTTAGGAGCGCGAGCCCCCTTGCCATCGCTGGCGAGGATCCCTCAGTGGGTCAGAGTGGAGGGAGCAGGAAACCCCAAAGCTGACCTGGGCTGCAGGGACTGAGCAGAGCCCACACCTGCTGAGCGCTTACTCGGTGCTGCACTTCAGAAACCGTTCCTCACGGAATTCTTCCACCCACTTCTTCCACCCACGCTCTGAGGCAGGGATCACAAACCACCCCATCCTACAGACAAGGAAACTGAGGCCAGAGAGCCCAAGGTGTTGTGCTCAAGGCTGCTAGGCCACTAAGTGGAAGCCGTTACCTTGCCTCCACCTCCCAATCCCTCCACCTGCTTTCCCGGCCAGAGGCTGCCTCTGCAGAGGCCCCTGTCTGTTCCTGGACCCATGGTGGCCATGGGGAAGGCAGGGCCAGCCTGGGAGCCTGTATGTGTGTTGCCTTGAGCAGAGCTGTGCAGGCTGGGGCTGCCTGGGGTCTCTTCCTGGGGTTCAAAGACCTGCCCCCAACACCTGGCAGGAGCCAGGCCCAGTTCTCAGCAGCCCCCTGGAGCAGGGGGAGGGGCATCGGCTTACACAGTCCATTGGGTCGGTGGGATGGGGAAGGGAGGGTCCCCCAGACCATAGTCTGCTCTGCAGGGCCCTGCCCGCTGCACAGGTGCCCTGACACACTGACATGATCATATGTGCGCAGCCTCACACGCGGCGTCCACACGCCCATCCATCCATCTCCTGCCCCCCTGGGAGCTCGGGGCTGAGCCGGGATGAGTGCAGGGATCAGGGCGCCAAGCTCCCGGCCCTTCCCTAGGGCCCCCACGGCGCACGCTCGATCAGGACGCCTGCCGAGGGGGCTCCCCTCCCCCTCGCGGCCCCTTCCCGGCAGGGACGCTGCAGAGGCCGGTGGCTGCTGGGCCTGCCCGAGCGGTGGGCACAGCCCTCGTCCCTCAGCCACCTCTGCCTGCAGTCAGCCTGCCTGCACTGGGCGACCTTGGCCTCGGCCTCCCCATCTGCAAATGGCCCCCGGGCCCGCCATGCCTCGGCAGCCACACCCCCAGCATGGTCCTGCCCCCCACCCTCCCTGCAAAGCGTGTCATTAAACACGAGCGGGAGGGGCCTGCTGGGGCTGTCACCCCGAGGTCGCCCCTCACCGCAAGGGGTCCCTCCCTCTCTCCAGGGTAGGGCACCTCGCCTCGCCCTTTAAAGTCCCCAGCCGAGCCCTCCCACTGCCAGCCCGCATCCCAGGGAGGGAGGGGAAGGCGAGAAGAGGGGGTAGGTGCCACCAGGGGCCCCGGGGGCCGATCGTCAGCCGGCTCCGGGCGCCGCCCTCCTCCAGGCTGCGCCCCCGCCCGCCCTGGGCCCCGCGCCCCACACTCACTGGCTTTGCCTGGCCGCGGCCTCTGCAGCAGCCGCTGAGCGGTGCCTACGTCCTCCGCCTTCACCGCCTGCACCAGCTCCTG